TAAAATTTTCATGTCAGCAAATTTTAGTGAAAAAAATAATTAAATAGGTTGAGTGACTTTCTGTGCAAAGAAGTCATAGTTGAATGACTTTTAAGTTGAAAATGAAAGTTGAGTGACTTTGTGTGAAAATAGTTGATAGTTGAGATTGAATCCAATTCAACTTATTTTGAGCTCAACCCATAAAATTCTGAATGAGTTGAACGGGTTACCTTTGTTTGGACTCACTTTTTACACCCCTAACTCCTTTTATTAATTATATGTTTGGAAATTTAGAAGAAAAGATGTAACAAAAGATTTGAGCATATCAATATTTTCCATACACAACATTATCTATTTAATTTTGTCAATGTTGATCTACGTTTGATTCTAATTGGTTGGTTACCTCCACATTTAACATTAGAGAGGAGCCTTCTTGGAGGCTAAAGTTTCTTTTGGGTTATGATATATACATGTAGTGTCGTGCCAACCCCCACCATCACAGGTTAGTACAAGTTAGGCTACCAAATGCGTTATAATTATGTGCACATTGGTTTGGTTTTTGAAGATAAAGAGTAATGCATGCTGAACAATCCGAGCGTGATGGCGACTTTTTCATTGAGATATATGTATCTTCGACAAAAGTCTTTATTTATTATTGAACACGACTATAGTCGTGGTCCTAATAATACTACAATCATATTATTAAAACTTCATTTCATAGTTGATCCTTGCGTTACCAGAGAATACAACAAAATATATGATGAAGTTGTTACTCGACTAAGAATCAGCTGCCAAAAGGCCTCTGGTTGCCGCAATCAAGAGAGAATTGTTATTGTAGAACACATTATTTTATTTTTTTGTAGAACACATTAAAAATAGATTTTCTCTTACGGTATAAGAGAGAATTGAGCAATTGGGTATTTTTGTAAAAGAATATTAATTTTTTATTTTAATTTAGTTAGTGTATAATTTTTTTTTAAAAAATTATGGGATTCATTTAACCTATACTCCCCTCTCGCAGTCTATTTTTAATTGTCATGGTTTATCTATTTAGAGTCAAACTATAAGAACTTTGACTAACATTTTATGATATATTTTTCATCATATTGATATGGAAAAATTGCAATTTATAGCACTTTTCTTATAGTTTTTGAATATCTAAAATTTTTATTTAAAATATCGAATTAATGTAATCTAATTTAACTTTAAAAATTAGTTAAATTAACTTTAAAAAGCATAACATGACAACTAAAAATGAAAAAGAGAGAAGAAGTATTTGTTAGTATTAAATTCATACCTTTAGCTTTATTACTATGTCATTGGTACTTTTTTGTAGATTTTGCAACTATATATCTTGCTTTGAAAAATCGACAGAATGAAGGAAATACTTCAATTATGACATTTCAATGAGACCCTTCGCAACATGCATGTTTTTGGGGGAAAAAAAGAAAGAGATGATTTACGACCCCATATATATATATATATAAATATATATAACTTATTATAAAAGAAATACATTGTATTTACTTAATAATTTAGACCAGAGACTATAGACTATAGTTGCTGGATGTTTTTCTCTTGTAAAATCTATCTCCATGAAACCATGAAATGGTATCAATTAGCAACGATACACTTAATTTAGATAACTTTTACTACATAGGATATGCTATAGACTTGTAGCTATGATATAGTTTTTATTTCCTCATGATATGTAACATTTTCTAGAATGCAGCGTAAAAAATATCACTTTTTAAAATTAAAATACATAAAAAGCCACTTATTTTTTCATTTAATCAAAATGGATAAATCGTTTCGCTTTCAACAACTTGTCCTTAATTTTAATGGGTGGTCAAATAATTGTTTATCCATTTTTTAACTTTTTTTTTTTTTTGTAAAGTAAGTCGCTGAAAGCCAAATCATTTACCCATTGTGGCACCACAAGTTCACAATGGGGTCATTTGATAGAGTGTATCAGTAAAAATAATGTATCTATTAACTCTGTATATTAATTATATTTTATTTGATATAATTTTTTTTATGTTATCTATAACCAATGCAAGTATTAATTATACATTTTATTGTGTATTAAGGTGTATATTACTAATATCATTCTAGTTATTAAGGTGTAAGGGATTTTAATGTATGCATTAGCATGGTCAAACACCCCATTGCCCATTAAATTCTCTTTTACATAACTTCAGTACTATAATTGTGAAGGGTTTGTAATAATGATTTTTATCCAATACATACAATTTTTAATACTCCAAACCAAATGTATAAGAAATAATCTATTTATTATTAATGCAAGCATTACTAATACATTCTATATAACATTATTCTTACATACTCTACTATACGATCCGTAAAAGTACTCAAAGTCGATGCAAAAGTACCCACAAAACAAGTCAATCAACAACTGAGATAGCTAAACTTTGTTAGCCATGACTATACATAAGATATCAAATAAAAAAATCTCTTTTAAAAATATTTACACAATTTCTCATGTGTCAATATGAGTTGCATATTAGGTAAATGAGTTGAATTAAGCGAGTTAAAAAGGATGAATTTAATAAAATAAAGAAAACTTTTCAAAAATATCGATCCTTTGAGCCTAATTAGGAAATACAATGATAGTTTGAATAATTACCAAATATAACAATATATTATAAATTCGCTATGTACTAGTGATACAACAATTTTTGAAATTCGCTTTGTATTACAGATTAATCAATTCACTCAATATCAGTAATACATCAACAGTTACAAAGCAAGTTGTTATATCAGAACGAATTGTTATATTACTGATAGATACATGACGAATTTCAAAAACTCTCACTATACTTAGTAATTTTTTTAAAATCTCGCTATATTTGATAAATATAATGTAAAAAACTACATGATTAGACAATCATTTCTAATATAAATGGATCATTAACTCAGCCAATTTTAAACGATTCAAACATATCATTATTTTATAGGCTAATTTGTCACTCTTATCAAATGTCATTTTTTTAATCTATGTCTTGTGTACTTTTAACCAAGTGTCCGAGTGTCACACCACGTACCCACACTAATATACATGGATCTGCCTCTATATACATATTCAAAGATGAGGACTTGATGATTTAGCAGCCTAGTTATAGATATTTTCAATTAAAGTTATTATCTAAAGGTAGTAGGCTAGAAGAAATAGGGTTGGCTGGGTCAATTATGCCATGTCAAAGTTATATAATTTGAAAATGTCTATACTTAGGACTGCTAATTCTACTCTTCCCCCTTCAACTCCATACTAAATTTAGGCTGTGTTTATTATGAATTTTTCATTTTTTTCATGTTTGATTGATAAAATATTTTATAAAAATAAGTTCGGAGAAAAATAACTTTCATGATAAAATTAGAATAAACAAGTATTATAAGTGCTTTTAAACATTCCACCACCGCCACTCCTAAACCCCACACTCCACCCCATCCCACCCTTACAGAATTTTGCTCAATTATATATAAATACTTTTATAATAATATTTTTCTTACTTATTTATCACACTGAAAATAACTAAGAAATTCACTTGTTATCGTGAAACATATTTTCCTTCATACCAAACGCACCTACCTTTACCCTCGCATGCTCATCTCCTTTAACATTTTCCTTATTTTTGTTGTCATAATAAGTTATTTTTCTGATTCATTTGTAACTAAGTAAAAGAAAAAATCTGATTAGTATAAACTTGTTATAACTATATAATGTTTGAAGTTACATGTGAGACCCCTTTACGACTAATTAATAGGTCTCAATTATTGCTTAATAGTAATTCACTTTATTGTTGCAATAAACTTAGAATACAATGCATTAGTTTCATTAATGCAATTGACTTTAAACATGACTTGAAATATTCTAACTGAAATAAATATGGTATTAAGTATTAACAAGTAGTACCATATATGGTCAACAATAACAATAACATATTCAGTGTAGTCTTACGAAGAAATTAGATTTGGAAAGAATAGGATATATGCATACCTTGGAGAGAATTTGGGAATTTGATTGAATGAGGGAGTTGGATAATTTTCTAAGGGTGAAGGGTTGTTATAGGGCTTAGAATTTGGGTCAAAACGACGTAGTATAGGTATTAGATGTATAGGAAAAGACCCAAATACCCTTTAAAAATAACAGTCGGAGGGATCCTACTGTCCGTATAAACTTCTAAGGACCGTATTGGTCATCCATAGAACTGGTTACTGGGATCAAATTTCTGAATCGATTTTCCACGAGAGACCTTTACGGTCCGTCTAACATTCTACGGACCGTAGACCCAACAGTACGTAGAACCCATGAACCTAAAATCCTTTCCAAGTCTGAGACAACTTCCACGGACCACTATACAACCTGTCAACATTTTCACAGCCCGTCAAAACCTCTGTAGACCCAAAAGTCAAAATTTTCAACTGGAACCCCTTCTACGATCACTTCCTGCGGATCGTCTTGGTGGTTCGTAGGAAAACTTCAGAGACCCAAAAATCAAGTTATCCCCATTTTCTACGACTCCCTTCTACGGACCGTAGAACCTTCTATGATCCTTAAATAGGACCCGTAGACTTGGACCTGTAGTCAACTATGCAATCTTCCTTTTTCCGAGGTGTTACATTTTATTCCCTCAAAAGGATTTATAAAATATTACTTCATCCGTTCTATATTAATTGTTATGTTTTGATTAATGAGATTTCTGAAAAGATAAATTGTAATGACCCAATCCGTCATTATTTAAATACACCTTGTGCGGAGTCTAAAAGATTTTCAAATTGCAGTGCCCAATTGAATTTTTGGGGCACACAATGGAATTACTTAAATTTGAATTGATCCGAGTTGATGTCAGCCTGTCATAGCAAGATGCTTCGCGCTATGGCGCGGCCGCTATAGCACCTGCAAGGCTGCTATAACGGGGCTGATGGATACAAACCCAAGATAAATCGAAGTCTTTTTATTTTCTTCCCACTTTTATGGGACAAAATAGTCCATGGTTACTCTAAAAATCCCTGCAAGCTACTTTATGCTCGAAAGCAATGGATGAGAGGGATTTTCGGGTGAGCAAGAGTAAGTCCCGATGATTTCCGACCAACTCTTGACAAGCATTATCATTGCGATGATTACGCATTTGATCGAACATGGAATTTGAGATAACACCGCCAAGGTCCCCGGTAGGACTGGGGCTGTCACGACACTGGCTCTGGCAATTGCCGGGAGTACAATGGGCATCAGTGTAACCACACCAGCCAAATTTGCTGCAACAGAGTCCCGCGGCACAAAGCGCACCTCCTGCCTGCACACCACATTGCTCTGCCGAGGCAGTCAGCAAAAGTAGAGAAAATAGTAAAGAAAAAATTATGAATTCAAAATGCCTCATTTTAGTGTTGTAGGAAAAGGTCATGATGGGGAACAAGTGGTAAAGTTATAGCCAGAATATCTCATATCGTCATTTCAACTTTTTTCTTAAAAAGTCACTCAATTTTAACGGAGCAGACATGATTGAATCGTTAGTGGTTGCGACTTATGAGGGGGACTTTAATTTGTGACAAAAATCAAATGTTGAGCACGATGACCGGAAACGTATATTTTGGTGGCGGCTCTTATCTTCTTTAAGTTTATTTTATTTATTTTCATTAATTATTATCTCAATTCTCAACTGGTGATGATATTTTATTAGTATGAAATTTAAGAATAATTTTTTTAAAATAAAATATATTATCTAAAATAAGTTATAAATATTTATGTAGTTAAGAGCCTATTTAGATTGGTTTTTGATTTATGAGTAATAAATAAGTTATTAATTTATGACTTTTGTCTTATTTTTATAATTTTAATTTAAAATCAAGTATTTTCAACACTTAAAATAAACTAATCGAAGCAGGCTCTGAAAATAGAATAAAAAATTTATAAACTAAAATTACTAGTATTAAATAAGTATATTTTTCTAAAGAGATTTACCAATACAAAAGTTACATAAATTAATATATAAGGATGATTTTAATATATTTGTCTTACTTTTTTATATACTCCTTCGGAAAAACATATCACTTTTTATTTGATAAATTCCTTAAACACAATATCGTAAATGATATTTTTAAGATGACACAATTTTAAAAACATTTTGTTTTAAAATCACAAATTATTTTTGAAATATTTTCTTAAATCTCATGTTGAACTAAATTAAGACGCATAAATTAAAACGCAGAGCATAATATTTTCAAAAGGGGATGGGGTTTGGGTTGGGGGAGCGGGGGAGGTCTGGAATTATTTTTGTATAAAATAAGAGGCGGCTCTTAACGCTATTTTCAAACATTACTTAAATTTTAAATATATATTTTAGACTTTTTTGTGTTTGTTTGGTTATCAGCTAACATCACTACTTTGACATGCCTTGAGGATAACATATAAAATTTGGACTTTGATTTTTCAAATAAACTTTTACCTATTAAAAAGGGGAGAAATTACCTAATTAAATATACTTCACCATCATATATACTATTATTATTTATATTTTTAAAATATTATGTATCTTATCACTGATTAAGAATTTCCTATCATATATTGGGGAAGTTACACAGAAATACATGTATTTTTGCTACCAGATACACTAAAATAGAGAGAGAGGCAAACGAGGCGAACAAAATTTGTTATGTATCCCAGATACATGCAAGATACATGTATCTAGTGTGATTCACATGTATCTAATGTTGAAGTGTGTGATCGTCTCATCTAATATACATGTGTATATAGTGTGATTTGCATGCATATGGTGTTGAAGTGTGTAACCATCTCAACTGTTAGAGAGAATATTAGTTAATTATTTTCTCAACATATGGGATACCAGAGATATAGGAGAGTGGCAAGCGAGATAAGAGGGAGGCGAACGAGCTTTGTTATGTATCCAGATACATGCGAATCCACTTGAATGCAATATATCTGAGTCCGGAGTCTAAAGGGCAAAAAAATTGCCAAAATTTCCAAAGGGGTACATCAAAAAATTTTTAACCAAAAGGGCAAAAATGCTCCTCACGTAGCGATTTTCTTCTAACTCCGTTAGAATCAAAACCACTGACCTACCAGCGATTTTGTCCAAAAAAAAATTTCCACATCGCTTCCCGAGCAGCGTTTTTCGCGAATTAAAAAAAAGGAAAAAAGTCGATGCTATGGCAGCGTTGTTATAAAAAATATTTTTAATATTAAAATTAGCAACGATTTTCTATCAGAAATTAAAAAAAAAATTGAAAATCGCTCCACCTATAGCGATTTTAGTTTAAAAATAATAATAATAATTGCCAGGCAACGATTTCAGTAAAAAAAAAAAATTAAAAAAAATTAATGTATGAATGACATATTTAAGTTTGCTAATGGATATAGTTTTTAGTGTTATTCTTTCATTCATATATTTATATTTTATTTTTGGTTCAATGATTTTGTGATATCCCTATGCGTTATGGATTTTAGAATGACTATTAAATTTATTTTTTTTAATAATCACTGTCTTGGAAGCGAAATTCCCTTCCAATTTTTTTTTAATTTTTCAAATATTCACATGATTTTTTTTTAAAAAATTACTTTTACTGAAATCGCTGCCAAGACAGCGATTATTAAATTTTTTTAAAACTAAAATCGCTACATGTGGAGCGATTTCCAATTATTTTTTTTAGTTTCTGATAGAAAATCGCTGCGAATTTTAATATTAATTTTTTTTTATAACAACGCTGCCATAACAGCGACTTATTTTTTTTATAAAAAAATCACGAAAACTGCTGCTCGGGCAGCGATGTTCTTAAAAAAAAGGAATTTTTTTTTGGACAAAATCGCTGGTAGGTCAGTGAATTTGATTCTAACAGAGTAACCGTGTCAGAAGAAAATCGCTACGTTAGGAGCGTTTTTGCCCTTTTGGTTAAAAAAAATAATTGATGACCCCTTTGAAATTTTTGACAATTTTCTTTTGCCCTTTAGGCTCCGGTCTCCTATCTATCTAGAACAAATTACACATAATTTTTATCTCATGTATCTAAACGTATATCTAGATGCACCAAAATGTGGTAAGATTCATAATATTGTAAACTAGAGTATATCTAAAGCCTCATTTGCTTGCACTTAATGGATGTTTGGATCATATGATCTAGACATTACTCATTAGGCGATTAAATGCTGTGTTTTTTTTTAATTTAAGAATCTCTTAATGAGTCTGAAAGGATCTGAATGAACCAAATTTGTGACAGTCTTATTCTCATTCAGACTCTTTTCAAAACACTTCTATTTTCAGAAAAAAAATTATTTCAAAAAATATTCAAGCCTGTCTCATTCTCCAATTTTATTAGTTATCCAAATTATTTCCATCACACTTTTAATATTTTTTTTCTTGCTACTTGTTCATCAAGAATTGATAAATTTATTGCAAAATTTTATTTGATTAAAGTGCCAAAATCACTTTTCATACATAATACTTGTGGAAATATCCGAGGTCGATATGAAGGAGACTTCATTACGATATATGTATCCAAGACAAAAGTCCTTATTTACTATTAAACGAGGTCTTAATTAATCAGACAACAAAACAGATGAGGTATGGTTACATAGAATCGGCTAAGAGTCAGAAATGCATCTGGTTGCCGCAATCAAGATTGTCACCTGGGCTAACTCCAAGCATTCCACAATACCTCATGTAAAATCCAATTCGATCCTGGACCTTATCGTCATTACCATGGCCACATTCCACACCACCATTGATGATGTTCGTGATGACACCGAATCCAGGGATGCGATTGGCTGCTTGGTCAGTGCTAGATGGTTGCCAACTTCCGATGATGACATTGTGGCAAGAAGGCTTTGGGTATTGAGGGGTCATCCAGAACCAGATAGCTGATTTGAATGAGATCACTGGGTCCGTGGCCACTAAATATGGATTGTTCAACAGGTCTTCATTGATGGCACGTCCAAATGGTCCATAGTTGAGGTTGCTGTGTTTGTTAATGTCAAAATACACATAATTAGACACTACGGGTGTGTTTGGTATGAAGGAAAACATTTTCCGAAAAATGTTTTTCCAATTTTCTCATGTTTAGTTGGGTTAAATGTTTTCCAAATCAACTCATTTTTTTCAAATTTAAGGAAAATGACTTCCCTTCATAACTTAAGGAAAACATTTTCCAAATCTCTCTCCAATTTCAAATTACAATTTTTTTTTTTTAAATCAATTTATTTTGTTCCTATCCTCAAACCACCCCTCCAAAAAAATTTAAAGTTTGTGTTTTAAAAAATATTTTTAACTTAAATTTTTTTAACCCCACCCTCACCCCTACCCCAGCCACCTACCACCACCCCCAAAAAACATACTCCCTCCGTTTCACAAAGAATGACCTCCTTTCCTTTTTAGTCAGTTTCAAAAAGAATGACCTCTTTCCTTTTTTGGTAACATTTTACTTTTTGCTTTCCACGTGGCATGTTTAAGACCACAAGATTAAGGACAATTTTGTACATTTGACATAACTTTAATTTAGGACCACAAGATTCAAAAGTCTTCTTTATTTACTTAAACTCCGTGCCAAGTCAAACAAGGTCATTCTTTGTGAAACGGAGGGAGTATGTTTTTTGGGGGTGGTGGTAGGTGGCTGGGGTAGGGGTGAGGGTGGGGTTAAAAAAATTTAAGTTAAAAATATTTTTTAAAACACAAACTTTAAATTTTTTTGGAGGGGTGGTTTGAGGATAGGAACAAAATAAATTGATTTAAAAAAAAAAAATTGTAATTTGAAATTGGAGAGAGATTTGGAAAATGTTTTCCTTAAGTTATGAAGGGAAGTCATTTTCCTTAAATTTGAAAAAAATGAGTTGATTTGGAAAACATTTAACCCAACTAAACATGAGAAAATTGGAAAAACATTTTTCGGAAAATGTTTTCCTTCATACCAAACACACCCGTAGTGTCTTTAAAAATTATTTTCAACTTGAAAATTTCAGTTTTTCATCCCCCTCCCCTACCAGCCCCTCACCCCTAAAAAAAATTAAGTTTATTTTTAAAAAATATTTTCAATTTCGAAAATTATTTTTTACTCTAGTAAAAATAAAAGGTATTTCTCAAAAATATTTTTCATTCATAAATCAAACACTAAAAATATTTTCCGAAAAATATTTTCTACTCACAAACCAAACATGAAAAAATAAGTCAAAAATGTACTTGTTTTTCAGGAAAACATTTTCCTTCATACCAAACACACCCTACATATTAAAACGTACGAATTATAATTCTCTTTTTGTTTGATTAGTTAAAAATTAGGATACTTCCCGTATGATTAATCATTAACCTATAAAACTAGAAGATTACCTTGTAAGTTGGATGGGGCCTCGTCCGAAGTATTTCTTGCCAGGAACACA